TATTTACAACTTTTTTGTTTTGGAATCTAAACAATATACAGTACCATGATAATAAAAGCTGTCCAGAGTTACTGACATACTGGTCTTGTTTTTGATAGTATTTTAAAATTAATTATAAATCGATAGAGTACACACACTATATCTTTGAAACAAAAAATAAATAAAAGGGTGCACTCTCAGCTTCTCGTCTTTTATGAACAAGCATTGTTCGATCATAAATATTTCAATTGTAATCTTGTTTTCCAGGAAGTAGAGTTCAAGGTCATGGATGTCCAGGTACATGGTGGTTATGTGTTGCACGTTGGTGCCTTGGAAGGAGCTCTGCGAGTTGGCGACAAAATGAAGAGTGTCATTGACGAGGTATGAGAATTCACCGCGCCATTTTAGCCTTTTCTTCTTAAAAATAGATATAGTTATTCTTTCTCTACAAAGAAAACAGAAAAACGGCTCTTAGGGAAATCTTTTAAGTTTACACTTGCGATTTTTGCAATGCGATTGTCGCGCGATAATCGCCACTTTGCTATCAAGCAACTAAAATCGCCGCGGAGTTGCAGCTAATTTTCAAGCATGTTCGAAACTCAGGCGATGGTCGCGACGATCGCCGCGAGAATCACTGTGTAAAAACCGCAAATGTAAACTTTTGGAGCTACGAAGAGTACGAGAAGTACCACTCCTATCATGTTGTACAAAATGGCGTAGATGTATTGCCTATTAAACCACAATCTGCAAGAGTGATATTAACTCATTGTTTTTGAATCATTGTAGGAACGACGACGCCATTGTATGAATAACCATACCGCTACTCACGTTTTGAACTTTGCTCTTCGAAAAACGCTCACCGGCGATAGTGATCAGCGAGGGTCCTTAGTGGCTCCTGACAGACTACGCTTTGAYTTTACTTCAAAGGTRAARAAATGCTTATTTGTTTAGTTGSTAWATGYATCTCCYTTTAGCCTCCATTAWTWTTTTTTTCTTCATTTAATTCCTCCTTTTCATTTATTCTTTGTTTCAATTCTCAGTTCCACTTTTTATCGATTTATTCCTTGCTATTTTCTTTTCCCACTACCTTCTTTTTATTATTTTTTATTTCCCTCTTTCGTCCTTCCCAACTTTTCATACCTTTCTTTTCTTTTCCCATCTTTCCCACTTTTTCTTCTCTTTAATTCCTCTCACATTCAATCCACGTTCTTACGACATTCACTCCAGACATCCGCAATCTTGTCGCTTTCATCAATATTATCACATGGTATACTTCCCCAAAACACACAAACGTTGGACATTTCTTGACGCTTGAAGCCTGACACATGTCAATTAATCCCTTAGGGTGCCATGACAACAGAGCAAATCAAAGAAACAGAATTAATAAGCCAAGAAATTATCAACCAAGACTTGGAAGTGTTCGCTAAAGAAGTCCCTCTCGCCGTTGCCAAGGACATCGCAGGTCTTAGGGCCATCTTTGATGAGGTAAAACKTTTCGCAAATACAAGGATTTTAGACGTCTTGTGTCCCATTTGGGATCCCATGTATCCTCTTGGCCGAGCAGGGGCCTTGGTTCCCGCCATGACATGAAGGAGGAAATCTAATTTTTATGTGCTTAAAGAAGGGGCGCAACGTCTAAAATTAACTAAAACTTTAATTAGAAAAACTGAAAAATCAACGGTTTCAGATTCTGTGATTTTTAGCCAAATACCCCCCTCCCCCCACCCCCCGGTCTATTGCGCAGTCCCTTATGAAAAAATATATTTTTTTTTTGTTTCTGGGTGTTTTAGGTTTATCCTGACCCAGTACGTGTTGTATCGATCGGTTCATCGTTTGAAGAATTACAGAAYAACCCACAAGCTGGTTATAAATATTCTGTGGAGTTTTGTGGCGGGACGTAAGTTTATATTATAGCTATCATAGTACGCGCTCTCTGATTGGTCAAATGTTATTGTTTATTTTACTAGTTAACGCACGGATGCGAAAATGCTACTACATAAAAGCAATAAACAAACACAATACTCCAGTTTCGAATTCATGGCGAAAAACCGCTGCTCTATTTGACAACAGATTCTCTTGCGCAAAGGGCTGACCAAACACAAAAGAGAGCACGAGAAAATGTCGTTAWTACAATAGACTTGAAAATTTGCATTTTCCCCAAGTTGAGACTAACCCTGTATTCCCATAAGACCTAAGGTATGAGTCTTCTGGGAATACAGGGTTAGCCTCAACTCGGGAAAATGTAAATTATTAGCGCTACTGTACTTACAGCATTTTCACGTGCTTTCTTTTGTATTTGGTAAGGTCTTTGCGTAAGAGAATCTGCTGTCAAATAAAACAGCGGTTAATCGCTTTGAATTCGAAACTGGAGTATTTCGTGCTTTTCCTGTGAAATAAGCGACCTGGGATATTGGGAAAACACTCAAAAGGCTGAAGATTTTTTACGCCTTTTTCGTGTTCTCTCAACATCGCACGTGGTTTGTTTCACTAGGAACGCACGAAACATTATTTTGTCCACTCAATCTTTCTTCCGTTTTTCCATAGCGTAACATTCATTCCTCCCATTTTTCTTCCCTGTTTACCTCTTCCCTTCCTATTTTTTTCTTTATTTCTTCCTTCTTTTCACTTTTTCCTTATCCCTTTCATTTGCCTTTCCAGTCATCTCCAGCGTTCAAGCCACATGAAGGCGTTCGTTTTGGTTACAGAAGAAGCCATTTCAAARGGAATTCGACGAATTGTTGCCATTACAGGACCAGAGGCGCTTCGTGCTCAGAAAAAATGTCAACTTCTTGAGGATAAAGTGCAAAATRTCAAGACAGACGTTGAAACAAAGTTATCGTCAAAAAGTCTAAACGTGAAGGAAAGCAGCCAGGAAATTAACCGACTYAATGAGGTAATTAAGACGTTTTGAATACTTCTAGTTTCGATTTATACAGTTGTTTTCATACTGCAAGGTTTGTAGTTAATTCTGGCCACTAACTTAGTATGTAGATTTATCATATAATTATCTATGAAATATTTCTCCATTTCGTAAAGTTGATATTTTCACTAGTGAAAATAACACATTCGAGGTTTCTCTATATAGTGGAAGTAAGAAAAAAGGTATTTTACGGCATAATTTGCTTTCATGTGTAATTATATGATAAACAGAATATTACATGGTCGCTTGGAGATACAAATTTTATCTTCTCGCTACGCTCACTCGTGAGAGATCTTTTCAACACTCGAAGATAAAATCCGTATTTTCGCCTGCCCATGTAATATCCTCTATTTATCATGAATTATCTATGAAATGCCTATATTTCTCTCTTTTAAAAAGTTACGCTACGCTCACTCGTGATCTCTTCAACACTCGAAAGATAAAATCCGTATTTTCGCGCGCCCATGTAATATCCTCTATATATCAATGTATACAGTAGTTGATATTTAAAATTTAAACCTTTGACGTAAAACTACAGATTACGCGGCTTAATGAAGTAATATATCAAATATGAACGGGAGACTTTTATGGGCATAGGCCATGAAGATTCTATATAACATAAAATATAACTTTTAAGAGAAAATCGAAGTTAAAGTTGACGTATACAAATCAGGACAAATCTCTTGCTCATTTAGAGATGCGGTCACGGCAATGATTTTCCATTGTGTTTACCTTATAAATAACCTTTAAGAAACATACTTATTCCAATGATTTGCGATCTGATAGCGAGAAAGGAGCGAGAAAAAAAAACAACCCATAATGCACCCGATATAATGATATAGTATGTTAGCGGTCAGAATATTTGAAAATGACTTTAAATACTTCGATTTCACCTTCTGGAAAAGTGTGTAACAAGTGATTGTGTAACGAGTGACTGTGGTACGAGTGACTGTGGTACGAGTGACTGTGGTACGAGTGACTGTGGTACGAGTGACTGTGGTACTAGTGACTGTGGTACGAGTGACTGTGGTACTAGTGACTGTGGTACGAGTGACTGGGGTACRAGTGACTGGGGTACRAGTGACTGTGATACGAGTGACTGTGGTACGAGTGACTGTGTAACGAGTGAGTGGGGTACGAGTGACTGTGGTACGAGTGATTGTGTAACGAGTGACTGTGGTACGAGTGAATGTGGTACTAGTGACAGGTGAAAGCTATGAGCTGGATATTGAGTCAACGATGCTCAACGAGAACAAGAGTAATGCACTATATTTGCTCTCAATTAAATGAATGACACTTTTCACTTGCGCAATTTGCCTCTTAAAAGRCCGTATTGATATCGTCTTTTCTTTTCCATAGTGTTCGTATTGACAGCTTTACGTCCGCCATTTTGAATAGGCAATGAACAGCGACGCTATTTTGTACGCAAAGCATGATGGGAGTTGAAGCCCTCGAACTTTTTATAGACCATAATAARTTCTCCTTAAAAGGCGTTATTGTTTTCTTAGACACTAACTACTTCAACTCTTGCAAAGAGAAAAGCCAACGCTTTTAGGAGGGATTCTTAGCAAATGCTAAAGAGTGTGAGGACTACGTGATAGTATACGTTAGCTGGTTACCAAAGCGACAAGCTGAAAGGCTTATTATTATGTTCAAGTTGATTTTCAATTCAGTTCTTTATAATTCAAGATTTCYATTCACTCATCAAGTGGATTTTTTAACTGTTCTTAAAGTCACTTTTAAACGAGTGGTAATTTTGAAGGACTCTCATTTTGAAAAAAGCCCGTCATTTCCTTCTTGTAAGGTTTTCAATTCAGAGTTTCCGGTATTTTTTTTACAAAATATGAACGAGTTATGTTGAGTGTCACTCCTCATGTAAGTGAATAAAGATTCACCTTGTCCTCACACGGAAGACCATCGCTAGTTTATCAGGTTAAMTTACCGTTTAAACCATCGGCAAGCATTTTGTATCTGGCGGTCGTGTCGCTGAGACATCTTACCCTCYTAGTCCTTCAAAGGTCAGTCCACAACGTTCTCGTTCAAAGAAAACTGTTGCATTTACATTCTTAACACAGATTCACGTGTGGATTGCTCGTTTCTAATTATTATTTCATTGTTGTCATCTTTTATTGATCCAGATTTCCTGAAACAATTTCCCAAACAGTTCTCTCTTTGGGATATTCATGGACAGTGTCGTTTGAAGAGCTGTTCGTTCGTGGTTGATTTGAATGGTWACTATATGATTCTTGTACTGGCGACATATCCTGTTCAACTCTACTCTATCTCCGCGTTGATTTCTCTCTGAAATTTCAGATTTTAAAATTCATATTTGAATACTTTTAGAAAAGGGCCCTTTTGAAGGTTTTTTTTACATACCGTTATATTCTGTACTTCCTGGCTTTACCAATTCGTACGGGCGCYATTTCTCAATCTTGTGAAGTTCTCATTGGTTAAACGTACAGCAGCAAAAAGTTTGAACTAATTTATCTACTACCAATTTCTYGGATAATATGTTGTTCTCTTGTTAAGTTCAGGACATTAAAGACATTGGTTACACAAACGAGGCCCGAAAGATTTCAACTAATTTACTTACTTTCCAAAAAAACAGGTTGGATCAGGTTGCACTTGCGAACTATACCGTCMAATATGAACTCCACTATTGAATCAAGGAATGCTCAGTGCTATATCTTGAGCGTTGGGCGCATTTTCTCTCAGAAAACATCTTTCCATGTGAATTATTTAATAGTTTTAATARCTGTTAACGCAATATTCGCTTTTACTGCGGCCTGTAGCAATTTTATTGTTATTTATACTATTCTMAAGACACCTTCTTTACAAACTCCATCGCATTCTCTTATGTGTGGGCTATCGGTGACGGATTTCATCGTCGGCGTCATCTGTCAGCCCTCGTACTGTCTGTTCAAGCTGGCCGAACTGAAGAAAGACCCTTGGCTTTACTGCCGCAGTGGTTTGTTATACACCTTTGGGACTCTWCCTCTCGCTACAGTGTCATTTCTGACTGTTAGTGCCATCATAGTTGATCGTTTTTTRGCTATTACGCTGCATTTGAGATACCAACAGCTTGTAACATCAACKCGCGTCTTCTTCACGCTTGTGGTGATATGGGCGATGGGTATTATCTTCACAACATACACTGGCGTGTTCTACTATCACATATCAACAATCATTATAAATAACGTCTTGTTTCTCGTAGTTTTTGCTGTAGATGTGTTCTGTGTTGTTCGAATTGCGCTCATTATTCGCCAGCATTCGATTCAGATTCAATCACAACTTCAAGCCACTCAGCATAACGGCGGTGCAGCCAATATTGACTTGCCAAATATCARGAAGTCGTTGAAAATGGTCTACATGGTGATAACGGCGTTCGTWGTTTGTTACGTACCCTTTGGCACAGTGAAAGTCATCGCTGGAGCGGTTTCGCGAACTCCTTTGTTGAGAATGTCATTTGYGTCAGCTGAGACCCTTGTCATGATGAACGGGATCTTGAACCCWTTCATTTACTTCTGGCGCATGAGTGAAATGAGAAACGCATCAATCAGAATCTTAAGACAATTGCGGTGTTGGCCAAACGTAGTCTCRCCATCTGCTAGATAAGTTAATCGCATGACGTCATGCGATTTCCGGTGAGATGCATGATGGGAATTGCGGAAGTACCAGYGCAAATTGTATTTGAGAATAGTTTGTGAATATTACTCTGACTTGTATCTTAGTACACTCYAGCATCCTTCGCAGGCTCTTCTTGGTCTTCCTGTGTTGATATGCTTGACCGAGAGGATCTGGTGTCGGGAGATGAGGAACGTCCATACCCCTGCTAGAGCTGCGGGTTTTTTTTGGCACAGGGACCCCACTGAGTAGATTTGACTGAGAAGGAGCCTAAGTACAGCCATCTTATTAAATGTAAATATCCAAAAATGAGTAAAAAAAACTCTTGAAAATATCAGCAGAGTTTGCTTGGTTTTCGATGAATGTTTGATAGTCTTCCCTCGTTAGGCTCGTATTTGAGAACACTTTTCTCCTGCCGGGATAGCACTAGCGTGCATGGTCAATTCACACCGATTGGTTAACATCAAGGAAGAACTTAGACGATCGGACCGTAAAGAGCTATTTTTCAACAATGGTTGACTTGTTGAAGTCTCTCTCGCTTTGTACTGACGAGAATTAATTCATATATCCCCACTTTCTCTTGAAAATGTCTTCCCTACATATGTTGATTTATACGCTATGTAGAAKTGTCTTATTTCAATATTAATAGCAAATTTAACTGGCTGTCATTAGTAGTAGTATATCTAGTACTCTTGTTGCCATTAATCACGTGATAATAACGMTGATGACCGCTGGTGACAAATTTTATGAACCTGATTTAAACGATAGTGTTGATCGAGGTTCTTGAAAGGGAAAAATTGCCGTAGACGAACTGAGAATAGGGACAAAGTTTTCTTCGTCGACGAAAAGCTTCCGTGAAAGCAAATTTTCCGTAAAACAGAAAAAGGATCAAGAAAAAGCATTTGCCAAGAATTGACAGGTGTTGATGTGATAAATTAAGAGGRCTAAACATTAGTGATTGTGTGATGAAAAAAAAATCTATTTGTATATCTTTTGTCAATATTCTGCCGTTTCAAGGTAATGCACATACAGCCGTTATGAAAAAGTTTGAGGGAAATTTGGTTTATCGTTTACAAGAACCTGGCTTTTTCTTTTCAGTGAGAAATTGCTGTTGTAGGCCAAACGCGACTCAAGCACTTAGGATGGAAGAGGGTGCGTAGCTGTGGAAAGTGTTTTCGTGGTTGTTTTTGCATCCAAATTTCTYATTCCTTTCTCGCAGTATGCGATATACAGTCAACTCTTTCGTAAGCGACCACCTTGGGATCAATAAAAAGTGGTCGCTTACGAGAGATGGTCGCTTACGAGAGAGTTTTATTTAGAGAGTTTATATGGGAAACAATTATAACGGGAAATTTAAAAGGTGGTCGCATACGGGATATGGTCTCTTACGAGAGTGGTCGTTCATAAAACAGTCCTTCAAGACACCTTATGTCCTTATGTTTCCTTATTAAACTAAAAGAGAAGATTTGCTCATAACTACTTTCGATATAAAGAGGATATTACATGGGCGCGCGGAAATACGGATTTTATCTTCGAGTGTTGAAAAGATCTCTCACGAGTGAGCGTAGCGATTTTCAACACGAGAAGATAAAATTCGTATCTCCAAGCGACCATGTAATATTCTGTTTATCATATAATTACATATGAAAGCAAATTATGTCTTAAAATACTTTTTTTCTTACTTCCACTATGTAGAGAAACCTCGAATGTGTTTTTTTTTTACTAGTGAAAATACCAATTTTATGAAATGGAGAAATATAGGTATTTTATAGATAATTATATGATAAAATCAAATATTACGAAGGAAATTTTAACTTTTTAACTTAATGTTTGAAGCAAACGAAGAGAATTGTTTCCGGTTTRATTACGTGTGTAAAGTGGAGAGAAGAAAGGAGTTATTTTTGAATAAATAACGAACACCTCAGACGGGCAGATGAAAATTAAACACACGGAAATGCACGGAATGCCGGGGGGTCCCCCATTCTCCGCGACGGAATAACAGCACGGAAACCCCGTCCCAGAGTTTAAAGGAAATAGTGTTCCAGTCAAAAATATAGTTTAACTCTAACTTGGACAATGAAAATTCATATGTACTGGTGAATTTGTTTCAGTTTYAAGGCTAAATGTTAGCAAACTGCTCGAGTTTTAAAAATATTACTATGCAGTGATCTATTCTTGTAGATTAGTTTTCATTAACGCGTCAAATGCTCTTTATTACTCTACGTTTTGCACGTTTTCCCTTGTTTTGAAGGTTAATCGAACTTGAATACACTTTGACCAGACACTTTATTTCACAGTTAAGAAAAACCAATCAATTAAAGACAGACTTCTTTTACAAAAATTAATATAGGAGACAGTCTCATAGCCTTAACGTGCCTACGAAGCCTGATACAATAATTGCTGATTCTCTATGAACTCATTCTATATAAAGTAAACAATCGAATGGTGAAATACGAACTTTGAAACAGTGACTCAAAAATGTTTTCATGAACGCCATCTAGGAATATAGTTATTCCCTACATTGCCTGCGATAAATTTAATGCCATGAAACCATCCTTCAAAGTTCTTTGACGTCATTTACATTAACATATTATCGAACCTTCATAATTCAAAGATGCAACACTGAAATGCAGGAATATTTCACCATTCAGTTATTTACTTTATATAGAATCAGCTCACAGAGAATTAGAAATTATTGTGTTAGGCGTCATATGCACTTTAACCGAAACTGAATATAATCATGTGTTAGGCGTCATATGCACTTTAACCCAAACAGAATATAATCATTCTAGGATATTGACGGTGCCATAATCTCCGCTTGGAAGAAAGACGAACTGCGTTCAGTGCTGAAGCAAGTGAAAAAACTCGTAACAGATGCTGAAAAAGAGCTAAAGGCAGCCGCGATGCAAATTGTAAGATATCATACTTCCTGTAAGACGTTTTCACTGCAACCTCGTTCCCAGTCCCTTATCCCCCTGACCTCAAGCGAAGAGATAAGGGCCTGGGAACGAGGTTGGTTTTCACTGTGTTTTCTGACTCGTTGCGTTTACACGAATCTGGATTTTTGCGTTTTTTTTATCGTTTACACAAAACCAATGGAAACGATATCCATATCCGTTTATTTAAGATCAGAAAGCGATGATTGGTTTGTCTAAACGCACATAAGATATCTGGCTGCGTGTAAAATTAAATACAATAGGTCTCTTGATCCCTTGATCCCTTGATCCCTTGATCCGTACATTGATCCCGATCATGAATCCCTGTGAAACTGATGATTTGAAAGGTAATTGGGAAAAAGATTTCACTTTCAAGCCATCGAAAAAGCCAAGTCTATCATAGAGACTGCCCAGAGTTTAGCATTATTTTTGATCCCTTGATCCGTACATTGATCTCGATCATGAATCCTTGTGAAACTGATGATTTGAAAGGTAATTGGGAAAAAGATTTCACTTTCAAGCCATCGAAAAAGCCAAGTCTATCATAGAGACTGCCCAGAGTTTAGCATTATTTTTGATCCCTTGATCCGTACATTGATCTCGATCATGAATCCTTGTGAAACTGATGATTTGAAAGGTAATTGGGAAAAAGATTTCACTTTCAAGCCATC